TGATGTACTGTTGCAACTGTTTTTTAATTATCTTCAGCAAAAATTTCTCGCATGTGATGTTAATGATATTCTTCTATGATATCCTCATTCCTTTGGCTCACCTTTATTTGAAATGGGCACAAATAAGCATCTCTTCCAATCAGTGTGCCAGGTAGTTATCATCCAAATTTCTTAGAATAGATGAATAAGTGCCTCAAGTGCCTCAAAGTGTTTGTTGAAAAATTTCAGTTTGAATTCCATCAATTTGCATTGGAGCCAACCTTCAGTGCAGCTTGGACTTCTTGATCATATGCTACCTCTTGAAATGGTTAACCTTTGAAGATTTCTTTTTTATACAGTGAATTTGTATATCCCTTCCATCTTCTTTTGATGCTTTATGAATCATTCATTATTTTGCCTGTTGTTGTTGTTGTTCTTAAGTTCTGTTGAGTAGTTTCTGACTCTTAGTGACCCTGTATAGTGTTTTCAAGGAGCAGCTAGTAGGTTTGAACTGCCAACCTTGCAGTTAGCATTCCAGTGCTTATCCTACAGTAGCACACTAGGACTTTATTTTGCCCATAGAATCCTTCAGTATTTTAAGTTAAGACTTGACTCTTTCTGCAATTCTTTAAGCTTGAGAAACATTGAGTGTGTTCTACCCTTCTGGGTTTTTAAGCCCATGTCTTTGCACAGTTTATTAAAACACTTGATTTTGTCTTCTCAAGCTGCCCTTGAAAATTTTCTGTTCCATGCTTTTGCTTCTTCATAGCTTCTATTTGCTTTAGCTTCTCTTTGCTCAAGAGGGTTAATTTGAATAATAGTTGCATTAACTGTATTCAAATTAACCGTATTATTCAAATTTACACACCAACCTCTAAAGCCAGTATTGATGAAATTGAAGACTTCTACCAACTTCTTCAGTCTGAAATTGATCAAACATGCAATCAAGATGTATGGATAAATACTGGCAATTGGAATGTAAAGGTTGGAAACAAAGAGGAAGGATTAGTAGTTGGAAAATATGTCCTTGATGATAGAAACGATGCTGGAAATTCCCTGATAGAATTTTTTTAAACCAATTACTTTTTCACTGCAAATGCCATTTTAAACAGCATAAAAACCTACTATACACA